GTGGTCTACCTTTCCTGAGAGCTGGGGGCTGTGGGGCCCACATGGCTCAGACGTGCTACTTCTGCAGCCATAACCTTCATTCCCCCCAACAAGCCTTCTCTGTCATCAGCCAACACAAGGGCTTTAAAAAAATTTTATTGAGCCAGGCAGCACCAAGGACAGAGCCCTGCGGCGCATCTTGATAGACTAGATGCCCTCATTCACCATTGGGAGCTGCAGCCTGTGCTGGTCTCTGGGGAACCAAAGGCCAAGCAGGCCTTGTCCCCACTTCTGAAAAAGGTAAAGAAGGGAGGGTGTCTGGCTGACCCTCGGATCAGTCTTCTTTTCTGCTCTGACTCCCAGTCCCCGTTTCTTTGTCCTGTCTCAGGTCACTGTATTCTCAAGAGGCAGGGTGGCATGGGGGTTTTACTGGGCACTTTGGGAAAGTTTCTAATCTCTCTGGCCTCAATTTTCTTATAGGTATTTGTCACTTTCCTTCCTGAATGTAGACTTAATCATTATTCAGATCTGTGTCTCAGTCCTGGCTCACCACTGACTCACTGTGTCACCTTGGGCAAGTCACCAGCCCTTTCTAAGCTGATTTCCTCATCTATAAAATGGAGATAATACAACCCACCACACAGGGCTGTTGTAGGAGCAAATGAGATATTTTGCAGCAAACTTAGCTCAGTGGCTGGTATACCTGCGGAGTAGCCAAGAAACTATCGCAGTGAAGTAGCTCAGGAAAATGAGGCTCAGGGAAGTGAAGTAACCTCCCCAAGGTCACACAGCAGGTGGGTGATGATTCTAGAACTAGAAGCTCGATTTCTAGGTTTCTTGTTTCCTGCCTGGAAGCTACTGAGGTGGCAGTGGTTCCTCTGGGATCCAATGGAGGAGAGACTGTCCTCATGGGAAATGAACTGGGGGCTTCCCTGGCTGCCCTGTGGGGATCAGGTTTCACTTGTCAGTCCCTCAGTCCCCACCTGCCCCAGATGGGTGGACTCCAGGTACAGGGCCAGTTCCAGCCTCCCCTGCAGGGGTGTTAGGGTCCCAGGGCCAAAGCCGTGAACATGGGCTGTGGGAAGAGGAAAGGAGGGCCTGTGGGTATAGGTCTGTAGATAGACTCCTGTTTTTAAGTGACAGCACCCTAGGTCAAATGGACAAAGGCAAAAAAGGGAATTTATTAGCTCATGCCATCAAAAAGTCCAGTGGAGGGAGGGTAAAGCTTCAGGTACAGCTGGAACCAGGTGCTCAGTGGTGTTCTCAGGAACTGGTGTGTTCCCATCTCTCATTCTACCATCCTTCAGCTTTATTTTGGACAGTCTCCTCCCTGGTGGTAGTATCTTCAGTGCTTAGGACAGTGCCTGGCATATAGTTCACCTGGGCTCCAGAAGCCCCAGGCTTACTTCCTACTAGCTTTGCAAACCCAGTGGAAAACCTGTGTCCTTTCCAATGCTCTAGCAAAAACTTCAGAAGTGACTGAGGCATGCAGTGAAGATTGTCCATCCACTCCCGAGCCAGACACAGGGCCTGAGGAGCCCACTCCTCTCTCATTTGCAGGCCTATGCCACAGGTCCACCACTCACACATTGTCCAGACCCTAGGAGAGGAAGGAAGAGATCCCTCGAAGGGGGAACAGCAGGCAGGCTGTCATCAAGAGAGAGGATTTGGGAATTGGGTGGGAAGAAACTACAGAGGAACAGAACAATGACCGTCATCAGGACAGGCCAGACAGTTGGACCCAGGCCATCTCTTCCCCAGCGGACTGGAGCTTGGTTATCTGGGAGGATGGGCGGGCTCTGAAGATACCAACAGAGGCTGTCAGCCAACTGCACTCCTTGCAGCTAAACAGCAGTTTCTTTCTTGAGGGGAGATCCAAGTGGTACATCTCCACAGGGAGATTTTAAAAAATGGGACATCCTGGGGGTTCAGGCAAGGAACGGAGACCCTTTACACTAGTTCCAAGGGAGAGGGTTTATTAGACGGACCTGGGATAGACCAGAGCCCTGGGTGGAAGGCACCGTGGCCCCGTGGGCATGGATTTGGACAGCCAGACACCATGGCTGTTCTCTCTGTCAGGGGCAGCCCTGTTGCTGCCGCCCGCCCTCAGGCCCGTTTCTCGGTTCCTCAGCCCTGCACCCACCTGGGCGGGTATGGACTCCAACCTCGGCATTCACCGTCCTGAGGAGGACCTCTTGCTAACTTTGGCAAGCCTCAGCTTCCTCACCTGCAAAGTAGAGATGGAAATTGTGAAGACTGAGTGAGAGATGGCCTGTGAGGCACTTTTGCACAGGGATGGTGCAGTCAATCCCAGCATGAGCGTCTGCCCAGATTGTGTGGCAATTACGTGAGCCACTGAGGGGCAGCTTCTCCTTCCCTGCACTCAAAATGGCTGTTTCAGTTCCAGCTTTAATTCCTGTTGAGCAGGAGGTGAGAAGGGGAAGTGGAAAAAGGGAAGAGAAATCAGATTTCCTTCCCTCCTGGTGCCCTTCTGCCAGGTTTGCCTACTTCTGTGGCTGGCCTGATACTACAGGTGGGACCAAAACTCTCCCAGGAGGGGTGGGCTCTGCCCACTGTCCTCTGGGTGCCAAGGTGGCATCAGCATTAGGAACCTGATGCCAGGCTGACCGGAGGGGTGATCCACGGGGCACCCCTGCCACAAGCTGGATGCTGCTGGGGACAGGGCTGAGTTGGTGACAGCAGCCTAGAGGGCATGATGACTAGGCACCATGACTAGTCCTGCTTATCATGTGGAGACACATGCTCAGAAAGGGTAGGTGGCTCACCCCAGGTCACACAGCAAAGTGGTGATGGATCCCAGCCTGTCTGACTCCTCAGGGGAAGGAAGCTGGGTCTTGACCCCTGTCATCCTGTGCCCTTGCAGCTAAGCTTACAAGCCAAGGGCCAGGCAAGGAGTTTCCTGGCCTTGTTTCCCAGCAGGCAGGCAGGCCAAGGTTGGGAAGCCTCTTCCCAAATCCAGCCTGGTCTCGGCTGGTTCCTGGCTGGCTGGCAGGTGGTGACTCAGCCTTCCAGCTCCTGCTTCTGGCCTTCAGGCCTCTTCATCCCTTCCAGATAAGAGGGCTTTGGGGAGGGGGATGGGGAGTGTCATCTAAAGGAGTATCCTGAGACCGTAGCATCCAGGTAGACCAAGGAACTTCAGTTCTTCCTTCTGTCTAAACTGAATTGTTTCTGCTGCAGGCGTAAAATGACTCCATGTTTTGTTGCCTGAATGGAAAAGAGGGAACAGCCGAAATTGTTCCCTTTGTGGACTGAGGGATTTCAGTGTTTCTGCTGATGGTGTACCTGGAACAGAGATGGGCGGTGGATGCCTGGTGTCAGGGTGACACTTCCAAGGCCTCTACCTCAGACAGACAGGGCTCAGTGCTGGCACTGTTGCCCTGCCACATCCCCAGTGGCTGCTGTGAGCCACACTGACCAGTTGCAAATCTGAGAACAGGGCTCAAGCTTACCTGGGAATGGTAAGTAGGAGAAAGGCTGGGCAGGGAGCCAGGAGAAACTGAGGCTGGGAACCCGGTCCCAAGGTTGCTCAATGCCAGCCCCAGAGGGGAGGCCTCAACTGTGTAAACTGCCACTTGTGTGACTAGCTGCCCAGTCCTGTGTGACCTCTTGCAGGGCACCTTCTCTGAAGGTGCTAAGCTGCCCATCCTGGGCAGTCTGCTGGCGCCATCTCCTGGCCACAGGTCCTCAGCACAGGGAAGGCAATCCCCTGGGAGTCCCCTGGCTTGACCATCTAAGCGTGGAAAAGGGAGCCAGGGAATCAGAAGGACCACGTTGAAATGCCACCTGGCTGGGACACCAGGAAACTAGGGGGCCCTTCCTGAGTCTTAGTTCCTTCATCTGTAAAGTGGAAAGAATCATCTCCCCCACCACCAGCCCAGAACTGCTGATAAAACATCTGGCATAGGGGAGGCAGTTAAGAAATGACACCTGGTGCTGAGGACGCAGAAATTAATGGAGACTGCAGTGCGCTGAGGGAGCCCAAAGGGGAGGCACTTAGTCTGGGCCTGGAAATGATTCAGTCAGTTAATAAACATTTATTGAGTACCTACTGTGTGCCAGGGCACCTCACATACATGGTTTCATTTCATTGTTACAACAGCCCATGTGGTAGGTACCAATGATCAGTCTCTTTTCACAGACGGGAAGCTATAGGAAGGATAAATGGGGATTATTTGGAGAAGATGGGGGAAAGCATCCTAGGCAGAAGCAGCAGCATGTACACAGGCCTAGGGGCTAGAAGGTCTGGGCAGAAGGCTGAGGCTGGGCTTGGGACTGGCAGGCTTAGGGGCAGGGCAGTGGCACCTGGGTTCTGCTTTGAAGGTTTTACAATTGGCCCAGCCCCTTCAGGCCTCTCATCTGGCGCCCCCCTTCACACAACCCCTCCGTGCTCCGGCTACAATATTTATTCTTCATTTCTCACACAGGGTAGGCTAATTCCCAACCTCCATGACTGCTGCCTGAGCTGCCCTCTTCACTCTTCACTCCAAGTCCCCTTGGTCCTTTAAGGCCCAGCAGCAGACATGCCTTCTCAAGGCGTACATCCAGGTGTACCTACCAACCCTAAGACCTGAGCTCTCCCTCCTGGGCTCCACCCAGGTGGCAAGAACTAAGACCCAAGCGTACCCAGGGCTGACGCCCCCAGGAAGCCCTCAGAGCTGCTTCCGTTCTTGGTACAAACACCCTGACCACAGGAGGTTGCCCTGGGACCCAGCAGAAGACAGGCTGCTGGACTAAAGGCCAGGCCTCCTTGCCCTCCTGGGCCCCAGCACTGCCCAGCTCAGACCGGGAGGGCCATGCCTTCAGCTGGTACAAGGAAACTCCTAGCTCTGACCTGAAAAAGCAGTAGGTGCTTGATCCATGCATGGATGACCAAGTATTTACTAGCTGTTCAAACCTGAATTTTTCTCAGTTTGGCCCAAACCTTTGACCCTGACTTGGTTCCTCAGTCCTCTTGCCTGTAAAATGAGTTTAGGGGTAAGATCAGTGCTTATACCTTACAGGATAAAAAGGGTCCTCCTTCCCTCCAGCAGTTCATCCTCACAACATGCTGATGGCCAGTGTGACCACATGCTACCAAAAAGGCTCAGAGAGGGGAAGGGGTTTGTCCAAAGTCACACAGTGAGTAGGGGCCAAGAACAAGAACCTGGGCCTCAAATTCCTGGGGTAGTGTTTTTTCCCTGCACCCTCCTAGTCCCCCACCAGCTGCCTTAGCTCCTCCAAACCAAAGCCCACCTCCCCTAGGTCACCTCCTGAATGCTGCTTCCACCACTGGAGCTGGCTTCCTCGGGACAATGAAGAGCCCCATCTCTTCCTCTGGTCGTCCTAACTGCTCTGAGTCCAGACTTGGTGGTGACAAGGGGCCAGGGGAGGGCCCAGTACAGGCAGGGAGACTCTCAGATGGGTTCTCGGGGACGTCATCCCTCTCCCCACACCCTCCACCCTCCACTCCCGGGGAGCTCTGGGCCTGCCACGGTGCTCATGTGGGAGTCGCTGGTGGCAGACAGTAGGCGCTCCAGAAATGCTTTTGGAGAAGAGGAGGAGGGAAGGAGGGAGAGAGAGGGTGAGTGCGCCAGTGAGTGAGAAAGTAGGCGGCCACCTGCGGGACAGGCCTGTCAGTGAGGGGGCTGTTGCATGAGGGAAGGAGGGGTAGGAGACTGGGGCCCTGGCTCTGGGGTCACGACTCAAGGAGGTGCCAAAGGTCTTCAGTCACCACCCTGCCCATTTGACAGATGAGCAGACTGAGAGGGCTGAGCAGAGGGGCAGCTGCTGGGTCTGTGGGGCTGGCCTTTGACCGGCAGTCTCTGGTGCTCCTCCACGTCTCTCTCTGCCCCCTCCTCACCCTGTTCCCCCTGCGGGAATAGGGGAGCATTCCGGGAAGGAGACCTTTTCTCCGCCTCCTCACTCCTCTAGGCACAGTTTCCGCCAGGCTTGGTGTTGGGGGTGGCTGGGAGGGGTAGCCCCCGCAGGGGCTATTTCAGTCCAAGACAAGCCTGCCAGGAAACAGAGGAAGCTGCCCGCCCATCGGAGGTGTTGCGACCGGGCTGAGGACAGGAGAGTGGAGAGCCTCGTGTCTGGCCTCCCTTGCCCCAACGCGCTTCAGGCACAGGAGGCTACACGTGAGCATTGGTGCAACTCATGGGCCTTGAGCCAGTGTTTGGGTGGGGGTCTGGGGGCTGGATACAAGGAACCGTGACTTTTGGACAGGGCTGACCTAAAGGAGGTCCACAGGATTGGAGGGACCAGTGGAAGGTACTCTAACCACCAGGGGATCAGAAAAGGAAGAAGCAAGATTGGATCTGGATCTTGGTGGACACTCCTGGTTTGACGAACAGAGATGGGCTGAATGGCACTTTGTGTGATGAGAACAGCAGAAACGGAAAGGTCTGACAGGAAGTCTGGCTCTCTGGCTGTGAATGGCTGTGTGGTAGTCTCGGTGTCTTGGGAGGAGAGTGGCAAAAGAGGAAGGAGCAGAGTGGAGTGACCTGGGGTATGTGGGATGAGGCTGGAGGGCTTGACAGAGCTTGGCTGTCAGGACTGGAGTTTGAGATTTCCCCCAAAGGGCAGAGGGGCACAGGGAAGGCTGGAGTCAGAGCCACCTGCTAGAATGCCTCCCACTGCAGGTAGAGAAGCTGGAGCCCAGGAAGAGGCTGGGGCTGAGCTGGCCCAGGGCTTGGGGCCCAAGTGAGTGACAGACATGAGAGCTCCTAGAAGCCACTGTCAGCTTCTGTCTCCTGGAGGTGGGGACCAGCTCCTGGCAGGAACTGAGAACAGCTCACCCCTCTGAGGTCCTCAGAAAGCAGAATGGCTGAGGTCGCTGGGGTGGCAGCCAGGCCTGCTTTTCTGAGGGGACTGAAGGTTTGCCCTGGAGCCCCTTATGCAGCCCCTGGCTTCTTGCAAGAGTACTGGTCTCAGCAGGGAGTGGCGAGCAGAAAATGTCTGGAGTCCGCAGTTGCCTGAGGCAAAGGGCTCTTTCTGGGGGTGTTTGAAGGTGACAGGCCTCCCAAGAGAGGGTCTAGCAGCACAGCACCATTCCTTCTGCCCGCTTCTACCTCCTCTTGACACTCTTCCCAGCAGGCAGCTCTCCTCTCAGGCCCTGCCTGCGCCACCTCCTCCCCACCTGGGGATACCCCAGGGGGTCCTCACACCCAGGGAAACCTTCCTCAACCACCAGGGTCTTGCTCCATCCTTCCTCCTCCCCTGAAAAGTCTCTTCCTGTGGCTCACACTGGTCTCCCTCCCTCAGAATAGTGTATGTACCTGTATGTGTAAATGTATATGTGTATATATATGTGTGTGTGTGTGTATTTCTCTATTTGTATCTGTCTACATCTATCTACTGTGCCCTCATGCATCCAGCAGGCAGTAAGTATTCATTAAATGCCTGTCATGTGAAAACAAGAGACTAAATACATGTGTGAAAGAATAGCCTGAATAAATGAATAAAGAGATGAATGAATGAACTTCCTCTCACCTATACTAGTCTTGGCTTCCTGGCTACAATGGGGGACCTCTCTGCTTCCTCATCTGGCATCCCACTCATAGCCTAACTGGGTGGCTGGGCTCTCAGCACATGATCTGAAGTCCCACAGAATCTTTCATAACTAAAGGAGACATGGCATGTGGAATACAGACTAGAGAATCTAACAACATCATTTTGCAGTTGCCCAGAATCTGGGTAAAATATTTTCATCAAAATAAAATTTTAAGGTGAGAGAAATAGTTTGGGAAGTTATATTTTACTCTAATGTAACTTTTAAAAATCTCATAACTTTACTTAGCAGGTAGAGTCGCATCAAGAACAGCTAACACTTGCCTTGTGCCAGACACCAATCTTCACAACAGCCCTATGTTACCCCCATTTTATAGATGGGGAAACTGAGGCATGAAGTTTCAGTAATAAGCATAAGGCCACACAGCTCACATGTGTGCAGAGCTGGGATTTGTTCCTGAGCATCTGGACCAGAGCCATATACTCAGCCTCAACCCTCTACCATCCTCTGAGTGCATTTATAGGACTTCGTACTTTCTCTAGGCCTCAGTTTCTCCCATCTATAAAATAGGGAAGGGGATGATCCAACCCCCTATCACAAAGGCTTTGCCTGACAGGTCCATCGGATTTAAGTTGGGAATTCTCTTGGATGTCAATAAATGCAGAAATGCCAGTTAGGAGATGACTATCGAGAAATAAGACTTATCCCACCAGGAACCCCTTAAGACATTTGTGCTGCTGGCTCCCCCAAACCCCAGCCAAAAGGGATGAGTGGAGGGACAAGGTGTAGAATATAACAGCATGACATGATACTTATTAAGCACCTACTGCATATCAGGCCTATGACACGTTTTACTGATAAGGACACAGACCTAGAAAAACTAAGTGACATGCCCCGGGTGGTACAGCACAGAAGTAGGGGAGCCAGGATTTGAACCAGACCTGCCTAGTTCTGAAACTGGGTTGAGGACCTCTACATTCTGTGTCCATGGGCTGCACTAAGTTGCCTCCTCTGAGTCAGGTGTTTGAGTTCTGGTTCTGCCTCTGCTTCTAACTCACTAAGATTGAGCAGCCACCATTCCTCACTGTGCCTGGATTTTGCTCCTTACAAAGTATGCTGTAGATTTGGTCAGTCCTTCAGCCGTCTGCCTTCAGGGAAACTGTTTTTACTGTAGCCACTAGAGGGTGCTGTGGCTTCAATGGCTCTGCCAGACCAGCGTTTGTAGCCTCCAGTCAAGTAGAAGGAGGCTTAGGGAACTCCTCAATAGTTTCCTTCTCCCATTTTACAGATAAGAAGACTGAGGCCAAAAGAAGGACCATGGCTTTGGAAAATGGAGTCCAGGTTGAAGAGGTGGGCACTTTCTTTAGTCAGTTCATAGTGTGTGGAAATTCTGTTCATGGTGATTAATTAAAAATTATCAGGGCATTCTCTGCCCTGGACCCCAGGTTGGACTTTTAGACACAAGAGACGCACCAGACCTGGCACTTTTCCTCAGAATGTTCCTGGTCTGTGAGAGAGAGACAGACAGACAGGCCCACCATGATCACAATCTCCAAACTCCAGGGAGCCCAGGGGAAACTCTGAATAGCATGATTTAGTGCCTCTAACTTCATGACATCCTAAGAGGTGGCTACATCATTCCCCCATTTTTCATATGGGAAAATTGAGACTCAGATAAGCTATATCACTACAGCTCACATAGCTATTAAGTCAAAGCTGGGATTCAAACCAACATCTATCAGTTTCCACTTACAGAGGAGACACTTGACTAGGGTTTTGAAGGATGAATAGAAGCTTATCAGGAATGTTGGGGGGAAATGAATATTATACAAAGAGTGAATTGGATCTCTCCCAAGCTTGAGCTTTATTATATTCCAGGTTTCCTTGAAGAGAGGGCTGTGTGGGGCTGTGGGGGTGGTATCATAGATAGTTCAGGTTGGGTGATCAAGGCCCAGAGAGGGACAAGTGCCTACTGGGTGGTCGCTGACCAGCTTTGTGTTGCTTCCCCAGCTTCTGTGGAAGTAGGAAACCCAGTCAGGCAGCTATGGAGTGGGACAATGGCACAGGCCTAGCCCTGGGTTCGCCGCCCACTACCTGCGTCTACAGAGAGAACTTCAAGCGACTGCTGCTGCCACCTGTGTACTCAGTGGTGCTGGTGGCTGGCCTGCCACTGAATGCCTGCGTCATTGCCCAGATCTGCACATCCCGCCGGGCCCTGACCCGCACAGCCGTGTACACCCTGAACCTGGCACTGGCTGACCTGCTGTACGCCTGCTCGCTGCCCCTGCTCATCTACAACTATGCCCAAGGTGACCACTGGCCCTTCGGTGACCTAGCCTGCCGCCTGGTGCGCTTCCTCTTCTACGCCAACCTACATGGCAGCATCCTCTTCCTCACCTGCATCAGCTTCCAGCGCTACCTGGGCATCTGCCACCCTCTGGCCCCCTGGCACAAGCGAGGGGGCCGCCGGGCGGCCTGGCTGGTGTGTGGGGCCGTCTGGCTGGTCGTGACAACCCAGTGCCTGCCCACAGCCCTCTTTGCCGCCACAGGCATCCAGCGTAACCGCACAGTCTGCTATGACCTGAGCCCGCCCGCCCTGTCCACCCGCTACCTGCCCTATGGCATGGCCCTCACGGTCATTGGCTTCCTGCTGCCCTTTGCCGCCCTGCTGGCCTGCTACTGCCGCCTGGCCCATCGTCTGTGCCGCCAAGACGGCCCAGCAGGGCCTGTGGCCCGGGAACGGCGTGGCAAGGCAGCACGCATGGCCGTGGTGGTAGCAGCCGCCTTTGCCATCAGCTTCCTGCCTTTCCACATCACCAAGACAGCCTACCTGGCAGTACGCTCTACACCTGGTGTCCCCTGCCCTGTGCTGGAGGCCTTTGCAGCTGCTTACAAAGGCACACGGCCCTTTGCCAGCGCCAACAGTGTGTTGGATCCCATCCTCTTCTACTTCACCCAGAAGAAGTTCCGCCGGAGGCCCCACGAACTGCTACAGAAACTCACAGCCAAGTGGCACCGACAGGATTGCTGAGTCCAAGGGGGGAAGGACAGCTGGGGCCTGGACAGCTGCTGTGTTTGCCACTGTGGCCAGGGTACCAGGAGCCCCACCATGCAGAGAACTAGAGCTTAGCTTAGCTAGGCATGGAGTGAGGCTCCCCACAGACCCCCAAATCTTACCAACAACTATTATTGAGCCCTTTCTCAGGACTAGACCCTGTGGGCACAGAAACAGACAAGCCTGAGCTTGGCTCTCCAGAACGTCCCAGACAGTCATGAAAAACTGGGGAAGCCATGTTAAGCGGCTCACAAAAATATAGCGTAATATGTACTGTAATCAAAGAGTACACTGCAGGCTTTGGAGCCACCAATAAAAGAAGGAAAAATGGGAGGGAGCATTTGTGCTGGGTTTTGAGAGATGAATATGAGCTTTCTGGGGATGTGTGATGTTCCACTCACTTAAGAAACCTTTACTGATACCTCGTGCTCAGGCCTCGCTTGATTCTGGGGCCCGCAGAAGAACCAGCTCCAGCCCTGCTCCATACAGGATCCCAAATGAAGGTACAGATACTGACATAGTGATGTCAAGGCTGTGACAGGGGGAAGTATGTTTGGGGGGAAGGGGTGCCCGAAGATGCCCAAGACCCAGACAAGGAGTCAGGGGAGATCTCTCTGAGTGGGGGACCATCTGAACCAGAGTTTGAAGGCTGAGTGGGAGCTCCACAAACAGAAGTGAGGAGCATATCAGTGCAGCCTGGGCCAGCCCTGTGCTAGGCTCTACCCTGGGGCAGAGAGCTGGGGTAGGAGGCGTGTGGCCTTGTGTATGTGAAAGCTGAAAAAGCAAGAGCTGTCCCATGACCACCTTCCAGACAACGGCAAGAGTAGGCCAGATGCTCCAGGATGGGGGGCTCAAAGGAAGGGAGGGAGCAGGGAGCACTTATTAGAGGAGGTGGGACTTGAGCTGGGGTCAACCCACAAGGCAGAGAGATGGGGCTGCTCCTGTCAGAGGCACTGTGTACACAAAACCCAGCGGCACAGATGCACTGGGCCTGGCTGTAAAGCCACCGTGAGTTCCACTTAACCCCCAGGGGGTTGGGTGGGTGGACAGGCGTGGCAAGAAAAGGAGCTGGATGGGACCAGAGCATTAAATGACAGAAGGAGGCCAAGACCCCACCTCTCCACCACTCACCTCTTCAAATGTGCAGTTTCAGGCTTGGAGTATCCTCGGGACCCATGGACACCTCCACCAAGCCCCCCAAGGGAGGGTAAATGGCCCTTCAACTTTGCTTCATTGTAAACGGGGAAGTCAGCAGCTTGAGGAGACTCAGGGCCACCCCAAGGCCACCAGCAGGCTGCTGCATGGAGGTCCTGTGCCAGGACCCTGCTGACCAGTCTCCAGACAGATTGCCGGGCTCCACTCCGGCCCTCTCAGCGCCTTCATTCCGGCCTGTGGGTACCTGGAAGGCTGCTTGCAGGCCGTCTCATATGGAGGCATCTCAAACACAGAGCCTCCAAAAGCCCTCGAAAGCTGGAAAGGCACCTTTGCTGAAGGTTTTGGAGGCAGCAAAAGGAGTTAGAGCTCACAAGGCCTTTTCACAGGCTCTCCACCTGAGTACTTTCCTTCCAGGCCCACCCCAGCAGCTCCTCGGCCTCCGCTCCTTTCCGCCTCTCTCCACCCCTCCCCTCTCGCCTCCACTCCAGTCCTTACTCCCTCCTCCAGATCTCAGCTTTCCTCCTGTAGAACAGTCTAGCCTTGGCTGCTGGTAACCACACAGACCCCGTATGTAACTGGACCAGCCATGGCAAAGAGTCTTCCTTCTTAGAGGGCAGGTGGGGAGAGGGACGGACAGAGGGACAGGACAGAGAGGGGAAGGACTGTGTAACTTATTCAATATTTTCCTTTTAGCCCTGCCTAATCTCCAAGGCTGTTGGGCAATGGGGGCATTAAGAGAAGGGCTCTGAGGGTGTTAATGTCCATTACGTCAGAGGAGGGCTTGCACCTGGCTGAGGGAGTGGAAAGCCAAGCCCAGCCCATCTTCAGAGTCCATTCAAAGTGTCATTGCTAGAGAGGCTGAGTATTTGGAGAAGGAACTTTGATTCTTTGGGTCATAGTGAGACAGACGTGTAGGGACATCAGAAGAGAGAGGCCGATTCTTGTTCCCTCTGTGACAGACACTGTGCCATGCCAGGCAGCACAGAGATTGCCCACCTTGCATCTTATTCTGAGTCTGACCCTGTCCTTCAGCCACCTGTCATGGAAGAATAGGGGAGTAGAGAGCAGAAGGCAGAGGGCCTCTGCCCACAGTGTGGACTGAGCCCTGGAGAGTCCCAGATGATTGTCCTAGCAGACTGCCAAGAATTGTGACCCTCTGGTTACTTTTCCAAGAGTGGAAATTGTGGGCCATAGGCAATTCCACTCCCAGCTTCCCTTTGCGAGGCAGAATAACATAAAGTGTATAGACTCCAGAGCCAGATCCACTGGGTGTCTATCCTGGCTCTACCATTTACTAGCTGTGTTACTCTAGGCAAATTATTCAACCTCTTTGAACCTTAACTTCCTTAGCTACAAAATGGGAATAACAATACCTGTCTTGTGGAGTTGCCATAAGGATTTAATTAATATACGCCAAGCACTTAGAATGATGCTTAGAAGGGGGTAAGCATGCCGTGAATGTTACTATTACAGTGATTTTGCCTTTTGTGCACACAAATTCCTCCAGAGTCTATCTTTAGGTATAGGCATAGGGGGCTTCTAAACAAGGGTCTTTAAGCATGGGATTGCAACAATTTCTCTTTTTCCTTTACCAGGGAGGTAGCTGGTCTTTTAAAGGAAAAAATACTCAGCACACTACACTTTTTTGCAGACTAGGGCCATCATTCATGAGTCCCATCTATTCCTATAAGAAGGAAATTCATTACATGCCGGTCCCATGGACTCCAAGCACCATTTAGGGGGCTTCAATTCCCTTTCCCTTCTCCCTCCTTTGGTCTCTTTGCATTCCCTCCTCACTTTAACCCAGAGTACACTCAGTGACGGGGCAGGGGTGGGGGCATACCTTGGGGATGTCTGCTCGCTGGGATGGAGACTGAGGGGACAAAGGGGTGGAGTATGATGAGAGGTCAGGGAACCATGGTTCACAGGGGTCCAAGGTGATTCTTCTGTGGGTTGGGGAAGGCTTCCTGGGGGCTGGCAGCAGTGCATCTGGGGCTTAAGGGATGGATGTAATGAGAAGAGAGGGTAAGGGCGTTCCCAGGGCAGGGCACAACACAGGCACAGGCATGGAGGTGGTTGGAAGAATGAGAAAAAGGGTTGTGGCCTGAGAGGAGGCTGGAGAGTTGGTTGAAGAGGAGGGCTAGAGAGTAAAAGGCTTGGTACCAGCCCAGGGAAGCGCTGAGGAGCCTCAGCAATGACAGCAGTGACCACCTGCTGGGCTCTGTGGGTTCCAGGCACCATGCAATGTACTGTACACACATTTTCTCATTTAATCCTCATAATACCTTCTATTACTGAGGCCCAGGTGTGGGAATTGACTTGCCAAGGTCACACAGCCTTTCTCTAATCCAGATACTGGATCCCCTCTGCCTCATCCTCCCTCTTATCCCTTTCCTCACTTGCCTTCGAAGTGCCTACCTGCCCCAACCAGTCCCAGTAACTGGGGACGTCTAGGAAGTTGTGACAGAGACAGCTAAGTGCCAACCACAGTATCAATTCTTAGCTGGGCACATGGCCTCTTAGGATGAAAACTTCATTTTCCAGCCTCTCTTCCAGCTAAGTATGGCCAGGTAACTTACTCCTGGCCAAAGGGATATAAGTAAAGTGCCCTAAAGCATTGTCACATTGGGGCGAGAGGCATGTCTTTGAGAGATAGGTGGTGTGTGTCCTTCCTTCTTTGTTGCTTGGACCATGAGAAACAGCTTGGGTCTCAACCATTCCAGTTTGGGGCGACCCAATCTGGATTTTTGCATGAGAGAGAAATAAATGTCTATTTTTTTAAGCCACTAGTTTTTCAGGCTTTTGTTACCCACGGCCAAAACTAATCCCTTTATTCAGGTTCCATCCTGAAATGGTAGAAGGCAGCCAGGGGTCTAGGATCTAGCCTGAGAGTAAGGCCTCAACTTGGGTGGGAGTAGGGCGTCAACAGGGTCTGGAGACAGCCAGGAAGTCTTGGAACAAGTTGCAAAGTCTGGGGAGTGGTCACTCCACTTCAGACTGAAGGCTGAGCGAGTGGATGGGCTTCCTGAGGGAGAGAGTAAGAAGGAAGGGCCTGTAGCCAAAATGCACTATACCAACATGCAACAATACGGATACATCTTAGCAGGAGAATATTAACTACAAAGAAATACTAAAAAATTACACACAACATGTCCTTTTTATAAAGTTTAAAGCAACTAAAATATATACTTTTAAGGAATACACAGATGCAATAAAACTACACAGAAAGGAAAGCAAGGAAATGCTGAAAACACAAGGTGATGGGTCTCTTGGGTGGCAGGAGGAGGATGCATGGTGGGGAAACTGTATAATGAGACTTGTAAAGGTCCCGGGCATTTTGCTTTATTTTTGTGGTGGGAGCCAGTTAAATACCTGGTGAGAATGTGTCCTGAACAAAAGGTTATAAATAACCTAATTTATGTACTTGAGGTCTAATTACAAGGGAAAGGGGACAATCTCAGGTCATTTCTATTCAACTTTGGAAATGGAGTCAGGAGCCAGATTTCCCCTAAGACAGTCCTTCCTGGAGCTCGTTGATTCTTGGGGGTCCTCTCCTTCCCTAGTCATCTTTCTCCTTCTTAAGTACGTGAGGCCCATCATTGGCCATGATTGTGACCATCACAATCTTCCCTTCTTGATTTCCCTAAGGGATTCTATAGCCGTGATCTTGCTGGGTCACCACAACTCGCTCAGTAGATGGGTTACTGTTTTCATCCCCTTTCACAGAGAAGACCCCAAGGCCCAAAGGAAGAGTTCATACAGCATCTGGGAGGATGCCTGCCCTGGGCCAGCTCTGGACTTCAGCACGGTGTTAGGTGCCTGCTGCTCCCAGCCCTCTCCTAGATGAGTCTTCTGAGGGCTAAACACACCTAGCCCTCCCTGCTCTGTGCCTAGAAGATGACTTTCTGTCTCATTCTGAATCAGAAGGGGCTGGGGTGGGAGGACTTTGAGGTGCAGGAAGCAGCCATGCCGCTCTCTGATTGGGTGAGCTTCCTGTTCATGGAGGTCCTTAGACACTCTTCCTCCCAACCAAGGGATTCCTGATCCAAAGGGCCAGCCAGGCTGGAGGATGCTGGGGGCCTGTGGCCTGAGCCTACTCCCTCCAACGTGTACCCATCTGTGATGTGGTCATAAGAACCTCAATCCCAGAAGTGATGTGAAGATAGAATATGATGGGGTGTGAAGGAGTGCGGAAAGCATTACTGGAGGAGAGAGCAGTGACTCCTGGGTTGAGGGTCTTCCCACTCTACCAAAACTTCCCTAAAAGAGTAGAAAGAAAACACTGCAGAGAAGACAAGAGTCTGACTTCAAATAGAGTCAGAGAGGCATTCCTGGGGAAACCTGGACACACTCCTGACTTTCCAGATGAGGTAGCTGTGGCCCAGAGAAGTAAGTGAGGGACTTCTAGAAGGTGGTCTCAACTTGAAGAGGAAAAGCTTTCTCTCTACAATGTTTTGCCACAACCCAAATGAAACAGCAAGCAGACCCCGAGTCCTGGCTGAGGACTCCCTCTTTCATGCCATAGTTAAGCAATCCCTGATTGTCTGCCATCCTGTCCTAGGCCCATCCCTGCCCCTCTCATCTGGACCAGGGCCTCCCAGCCTGGTCAGGCCAGCCACAGTCCTCTTAGGCTGAGGGGAGCATTAGTCAGATCAGGCCCTGTTCCCAGGGAGGGTAAGCCAGGCTCAAGGAGGACGCAGAGGCTGCTGGGGCTCAAACGAGAGAGAACCCCCTTCTTCATTGGAGATCTAGGAACAGGGAGGCCTGTCTGGAGAAGCATGGTGTTTGAAACTCCTAAAACTTGAATTTGAGTCATAGCAGAAGCTACTTCAGGATTTTGACACAGGTCAAAGTTACTTCTTCATGATCCACAGAGAAAGGGCAATAATATCTACCTCCACAGGTAGCTTGAGGATTAAATAAAAAACATTACCCATACTTCCAAGGTACTCCATAAATTCCCATTTGTTCATTCAGATGTAGAGAAGTTGTCCTGCACTTAAACTGGACCCGGAAGAATGAATGGGACCTAGCAGAGGCAGGTGGGGGTGGGGAAGGCTGCAGTACTGGTGCTTATAGGAGACTAGCCAGATTAGGGCAAAGGCAGGAGGGGAGCACAGGGTTGGATCAGCTTAAAGCAGGAGAAGCAACCCACACCTTTCCCGTCAGGAGGGTGGAGCGACCGCAGGTAGGAGTGCTGGTTTGGCAGTGGCAAGTAGAGGGCATTCTCGTCGAAGCTCCTTTGGTGTGTGAGGCCGAAAGGAGAGAGAGGCAAGTGCGTTTTGCTAGCGATTATGTTTGAATCGACTCTAAAGGGACTAGAAAACGACCAAAATGAAGTGTCAGCCCTCCTGTTTTGCTGCTTTACCGGTCCAGGCCTCCATGGGAGGTGGAGGGTGAGGGCCGTGGGCAAATCGGGCCAGTAGAGGGCGCAAGAGCCGCGTACCCCGGAGAGCAGGCGGGTACTCTGAATGCAGCTCAGGGTGGAGCATAGAGGAACCGCGAGATGGCGGGGGCAGGTGAAGGGGCGTGGCTCAGGCCACCGGCTGGAAACTAGAGGGCGGCTGGAGGCGTGGCCACAAAGGGTGGAGCTGCGTAGGACGTGTAGGTGGACAACGGTCCGAGCTGGACAGGCCGCAGAGATTGGAGGGGCGGAGCGTTTAGGGGGCGCAAGGGGCTGGACCCGGTCACAGCTACAGCGAGATTCGCCGCGGAGGGCCGGGTAAGAGGTGTGGCCTGGGCGGGGTGAAGGGGCGGGACAAGGAGCCGCAAGCGCCCGGGGGCCCCACTGCTTCCCCCTGGCGGAGAGTCCTGCCCCTTTCCCGGCTGGGATTGTTTATGTGTGTACCTGAGTGCCGGTGTGTACGAGAGTTTATGGGTCCGAGGTTGCCATGTTGGGGTACCTTGGGCAGGAGGTGTTTACGCGGGAAGGCGTTTGGACCTCAGTGGGTACGCCGCCCTGGTTGTAGATCCGCGGAGCTGACCATACTCAGAGCTTGCATGGGTCGGAGCGAGTCCCCTAGGGGCCGCTGGGCTCCCGAGGGGCTCAGCTGGAGGGTCGCTTCGGTGTGCATGTTTAAGCAGTCTTATTTCTCACTGGCCTCCTTCCCGATTCCCTCCCCCCAACTCCCGATTCCCCGCCTAGAGCGCGCGTCCGGAGCCCACCCCCTCTTTTGGGCGCGAGGCCCCGCCCTCCGCCCCCTTTCCTCTGCCACAAAGTTTATTTGCAACAAAAGGGAGCGAGGAGCTAGCAGCCAAGAGGGAGGGAGCGGGATCCGGAGCGGGAGCGCGAGGGAAGGTGGACTGGCTGGCGGGCGCAGAGTCGAGGAGCGGAGCGCTAGGATCCTGCCCCAACCGGGCCGGGCCGCGATGCTCCCCGTCGCACCGTCCGAGGCGGGGGCCGGACCTGGGGGCCGGTGCTGAGGCGGGAGGGGCCGCGCGGGATGGAGCTGAAGCCGCTCGCGGCCGCAGAAACTTGAGCGGCGGCCGATAAAGCTCTGCTCAGGTCTCTGCGCCCACTCCCCGCAAACCCCTTCTCACTGCCGGTGCAGGACCCAGGCCTTCGGAATCTGGCCGCTGCGCTCCTTGGGATCAGGGGTGCAGGGGGGGTTGGCCGCGGATCCCCGAGGCCGGCCCCCCCGGAGTGAGTGCAGCCACCATGGCGGACGGGACGCCCCGGCCCCCGCTGTATCGCAGCGTCTCCTTCAAGCTACTGGAGCGCTGGAGCGGCGGGCCCGGGCCGAGGGAGGAAGCCACCGACACCCCCGGGCTGCGGCGCCGCTCCTCGTGCCGGCCAGCCGCGGAGGTCCCGGGCCAGCCCTCCCGGCGCGTGTCCAAACTGGCGTCGGGGGCCCCGGCCTCCCCCGCGCAGCCGCGCCCGCTCCGCAGCCTCTCGCCGTCGGTGCGCCAGCTCTCTCGGCGCTTCGACGCGCCGCGCCTGGACGACGACTCTGCCGGAGCCCGGGACGGGGGTGTCTCCCCCGGGGCCGCGGAAGAAGCGGCCGAAGGAGCCGCGCGTGGGGCCTGGCCCAGCGTCACCGAGATGCGCAAGCTCTTCAGTGGTCCTGGCTCCAGGCGGCCCAGTGCTGACTCTGAGGCCTCCGGGACCCCCAGCCCGGACGGTGCCGCGTGGGAGCCCCCGACCCGGGAGCCCCGGCAGCCACCGACGCCGCCTCCTCGGACATGCTTTCCCCTGGCGGGCCTGCGTTCTGCACGGCCGCTGCCCGGCTCAGGGACCGAGGGGAGGCGGCGACGACAGCAGCAGGAGCGGGCGCAGCGTCCGGCGGATGGTTTACATTCTTGGCATAGCTTCTCCCAACCGCAGGCCGGGGCCCGGGCCTCCTGCTCCTGCTCCTCCTCCATCTCCTCCTCCTATCCTGTCAGCCGCAGCCGAGCTGCCAGCTCCAGCGAGGAGGAAGAGGAGGGCCCGCCGCAGCCGCCCAGGGCGCAGAGTCCAGCCTACCGCGGCGGCCACTCCTCGGGCAGTGACGAGGACCAAGACGGTGAGGGCAGCCACTGCTGGGGAGGGCGGCCGGGGCTTAGGCCTGCAAGCTCTCTCTTGGATAAGGATTGTAGGCCGGACAATTATGGGTTAAATGTGGGCAGCATGGACTCAGCAGGGGAAGCCAGGAGCCCCGAGCCCCCCAAATCTCCAAGAGCCCTTAGTGAAGAAGGACCCCAGGACTGGGGTGTTGGCTCTTCCTCCTGTGTTCCAGGGCCCTATGAGGGACTTCAGCCCTTGTCCGACACTGTGGGGGGAGCTTTCCGTGTGGCCAAGGTGAGCTTTCCTGCATACCTGGCCAGCCCAGCAGGCTCCCGGGGCAGCAGCAGATACTCCAGCACAGAGACCCTCAAGGATGAGGACCTGTGGGCTAGCCGGGGTTCTGGGGCCTGGGGTGTGTATCGCTCCCCTAGCTTTGGAGCCGGGGAAGGACTCCTAAGGCCCCAGACCCGAACCCGCATCAAAGGACCTGTGGGCACCACAAGGGCTCTGAGAGATGGAGGATTGGAGTCGGACAAGAGTCAGCAGCGGAAGTCCTTGTCAAATCCAGATATCGCCTCAGAGACACTGACCCTGCTCAGTTTCTTGCGTTCAGACCTTTCAGAGCTGAGGGTCCGAAAGCCTGGTGGGCGCCCTGGGGACTTTGGGAGTAGCTCCTTAGATGGCAGAGACTCACCACCAGCAGGTGGCCCGGTGGGGCAACTAGGGCCCGTACCTACCCCAGCCCCAGCATCACCTAGCACCCGCCCCACACTCAAGGACTTGACAGCCACCCTCCGGAGGGCAAAGTCCTTTACCTGTTCTGAGAAGCCCATGGCCCGCCGCGTACCCCGCACCAGCGCCCTGAAGCCCAGCTCCTCTGAGCTCCTGCTGTCAGGCCCAGGTGCCGAGGAGGATCCACTGCCCCTTGTCATCCAGGATCAGTATGTGCAAGAGGCCCGTCAGGTTTTTGAGAAGATTCAGCGCATGGGTGCCCAGCAGGATGATGGAAGCGATGTCCGCCCTGGAAGCCCTGACTGGGCAGGAGGTACAACCCAAGGGCAGCGGTCCCAGGAGGAGCTCTCTGGCCCTGAGTCCAGCCTGATGGATGAGGGCATTGGGGCCGACCCTGAGCCTTCTGTTTCAGCCTTTTGCAGCCTGGGTACTGCAGGGGTATGGCGGCCCCTTTCCTCATCCCCAACCCAAACCAACCACCATGGCCCTGGGGCTGAAGACAATCTGGGAGGGTGGGCCCTGGTTTCCCCTGATACCCCTCCCACACCAGGTGCCCTACGTCGAAGGCGCAAAGTTCCACCTTCAGGCCCTGGTGGGACAGAACTGAGCAATGGGGAGGCAGGTGAGGCCTATCGGTCACTGAGTGACCCGATTCCACAGCGCCACCGGGCGGCCACCTCCGAGGAGCCCTCTGGATTCTCTGTGGATAGCAACCTTCTGGGCTCTCTGAGCCCCAAGACAGGGCTTCCAGCGGCCCCAACTGTGGATGAGGGCTTGACCAGTGGCCACAGTGACTGCTCTGTGGGCAGTGAAGAGAGTAAGGGTTACCAGGAGGTTATTCAGAGCATTGTTCAGGAGCCTGGTACCTTGGGATGTATGGCAGATGACAGGGTTGCTGGCAAAGCCCCTAAGAAGAAATCTCTGAGTGATCCCAGCCGCCGTGGGGAGCTGGCTGGACCTGGATTTGAGGGCCCTGGAGGGGAGCCCATCAGAGAGGTGGAGCCCATGCTGCCTCCCTCCAGCAGTGAGCCCATCCTTGCAGAGCGGCTGGCAGAACCAGAGGAGCCCAGTCCTGCCAGGGGCCGGGCACAGTCTGAGAGGACCCTACCTGAGGCCCCACATGCCTCCTCCACTACCCAACGTGATTTCCATCTTGACCCTAAACTGGCTGATGTTCTGTCCCCACGGCTCATCCGCCGTGGTTCCAAGAAGCACCCAGCCCGGAGCAGTCATCCGGAGCTACAGAGAGAGGAGGGCGGTCAGGACCATACTGGCAGCCTGTCTCGGGCTCGACCTTCATCCAAACATGTTCGCCATGCCAGTGTGCCCACCACCTTCACACCCATCATGGTGCCTGAACCACTGACTTCTGTTGGTCCCCCTGTGGCTGTGCCTGAGCCCGTGGGCTTCCCTGCCAGAGCCCACTCTGCATTGCAGGCACCATCACTCGAAGACGTCACTAAGCAGTACATGTTGACCCTCCACTCTGGCGAGGTTCCTGCCCCAGTACCAGTGGATATGCCCTGCTTGGCTCCTGCTGCACCGCCCTCTGCCGAGACCAAGCCCCCTGAGGCAACACAGGCTTCAGAAGAGCCTGCCCCAGCCAGCAAGTGCTGCAGCAAGCCGCAGGTGGTGAGTCCTCTGTGGGGGCCTTTCTGGGGGGCAGTGGAGGGCCAGAGGCGCTGACTTAGTGGGAGCCTTCTGAGTGTGCTCACTGGGCAGGTGCGCATGTCTGAGGGTGCTTCTCTGGCCCCGCAGTACCTCGGCAATTCTAAGAGTGTTAATGACCCAGGGTTCCTGTCTACTCAGGCCCCAAAGCTTTAGGCTTCTACAGGTGCTACTGTTAAAGGTTCTTGTCTAAGGTATTCTGGATGATAATATCAAAGGATTCTTCTAATTTAGTCCTTTAGATGTTTCTCAGGGACTGATTTTAGAGATTCCTATCTGGTTCTTCATTATAAATACACAGGGAGGCGTGAGGGTAGTGGAACTTTCTCAAGACTTGCCGCCTTACTGGCCAGGCCCCTTGTAGGATGTTTGGACTTGGGGCCCACAGTTGACATGGGGTTGTCCTTCCTCATCATTTTCCTGTGGCAAATCATAATATGGGTTTGTCCCTGGGCCTGGAAGAATTGGAGAGGTACAAGGCATTACTTTATGGAATAACAAAAAGGGCTCCATAAAGTACATGGACAGCCCTCGCCCTTCTCTGTGACTCAGCCTCCCCATGTAAAATCAGAGGGGTTGTGGACAAGGTGGTACCTGTGTCTCCATCCACCTGGTGCTGCACAGATTTAGGGGGAGTCTGTGGGTTGGAGTTGTGGCAGTCTTGGTGTCTAAGTTCTGCCAAAGTGTCTTCTGATTAGAACGAGTCTGATAGGGAGGGCAGGGACAGGGAGGAGCTGCTGAAGCCAAGAGGTGCTGTTCCCCCACCGTGCTGGCTTGCATCTCCCCACCCCGTCCCCTTCCAGGGGATGCTAAGATGCTTCCCCCTTCCTCTGCCAGACTTCAAGCCCTGGGGACAGGCTCACCCTGAGCTCCTCCCCACCCCACTTCTGCCTTCTGGCTTCAGCCATCCCTCGAGTTTTGGCTGTGGGTACAAAATGGTTCTAGGTGGCGAGATATCCCAGCATCCAAACTGGAAGCTAGATTCTAGGCTCTGGATTCTAGGCCTGGTATGGGGGTGGCTCCGGTGGACTAGGGTCATTTCAACCATGGCCTACACTCCCACTGTGTTCCCTGCCTGTGATGAGCCTGGAAACCCTAAACCCTGGACAAATTTGGTTTCTCCCCATTTCCAGCATGCTCACGGCCCCGCTGAACTCTCTCGCTCCCCGTTTCTCTCTCCTTGTCTCTGGTCCTGGCTCTCGTGTCTCTCACAGAGGCCACAGAGAGTCAGCAAGCAGAGCGGAGAGAGGGGGAATTTTGGACCTGTCCTTCCTCTGGTAGGACGGCTCAGGTACGCCTAGCTTCAGTGCCAGTTGTCTTTGAAACGGGGATGGATGAGCATGAGAGCAAGGGGAGCCCCTGCCTCGGTCCCTCCCCACCTGCCTTTCCCACATAATTATCTCCTCTGGGGGCCTCGAAGGCTAAATTAGGAGAGAGGGCAGGGATGAATCAAGGGCACTTAGGGAGGCTGTGGGAGGGGGTGCTCCTGAGAAGAGGCAGTGAGACCTGGACAGGAGGAGGGAGGCTTTGCAGAATCGGCTCCTGGTCTGCCTCCCTTCACAGTCTCTCCCCATCCTGCCCCAGCCCACCCCACCCCACCCAGAGGGTTATGAGGTGGGACCTACCTGCCTGTAACACAGACTTCTCTCTGCCTTCCCCAGACACTCTCTCGCGTCTGCAAGCCTTTTCCCACTCTAGTACTCTCATCTGTCCAGCCCAGCTTGATGTCCCCTCATACCCCTCAGGGGCGAGTCTGTCATTGGAAGAACAGGGTTTACACCTTGGCCCCAGAACCCTGTGTGGCCTAGGATCAGTCACTTCCCTGCTCTATGCCTCACTTTCCCCTTCTGGTAGGCTCTTGTATAGGGAGTGGGTGGTGTGGTCACTCTCTCCCTGGCAGCAGAAGAGAGGAGGAAGAGCAGGCCCTTGACCTGACCTGCCCAGCTGCTCCTCAGCGACCAGCCTTGACCTCCCTCCCTGCCCCCTGCTGGTTTCTGAGCCCAGACCTGGCACTCCAGGCCTCAGTATAACCCGGTGGACTTGAGTTGGCTCAAAGAGGTTCACCATCCCCTAACTTCCTACCCCCTCATAAAGCCTGGAAGTTCTCCCCTCTGCTAGCCCAAATCTCTCCTGCTGTCCCCTTCCTTCTGGCTCCAGGAAGATGGGGAGCAGCCGTCCACCCCCTCCTGCCAGCCTCCTTGGAGGAGACAGTGTCCCCTCGGTTCAGGCCTGGGGCTCCAGTCATGCTCCCTGGGCCGTGGGTGGACATGGTGTGGTGTGGGTTCTGGAATAAGAAGGGAAGAGCAGAGGCAGAGATCAGTGTGAACCCAGCCAGGGGCTGACAGGAGTGGGCACCAAGGGCAGACAGGGCCCTTGACCTGACCCCAGGCTTCCGGGAGTCCCTCAAACTCAAGTTTCTTCCAGACCAGACTCTATATTTGTCCTCCACACGGTGTTACCCACATTACTGGGAGCAGGAGGCCTGGCTCAGCCTCTGACCAGCTCTAAGACCTGGACAGAGTCATCTTGGGCTTGGTTTTCCCATCTGTGCAGTGGGACTTCTGACTGCCTGGTCTTTGAGTCTTTGTAGGAAGGACAGCCTGCAAGGTGGTCAAGGGAGGCAGGAGGCCCTAGGATGTGGCTGGAAGGGAGAGAAAGGCAGTTCTAAGTAAGAGCTAGTCTTAAGTAAGAGAGAAAGTAACAGCTGTAAGAACCTAGGAGCCCAGTGTATTCTGTAAACACCACCTGTGTATGTGCTGGGGTGCAGGAGGGCTGTGGGAGCCCCTTGTCATTTCCACTCAAGCCCAGAGCAGCCTAGGTAATCAGTGACTCTTCATTCCAGGGCTTCTCCCAACCCTGGCCTTAAAGTAGAATCTTGTAGTCCAACTTCCTGTTCTTAGGTTCTGATTCCCATTTGACAGATGTGACAACTATAGCCCAGAAACTGGAAGTGACTTGTGTCTCAGAATCATGGATGAATGGACTCACAGAACTTTAGCATATTGGGGTCATAATACCAGTAGCTTACATTTATGTATCTAGCTTGCTATATGCCAGACACTCTGAAGGTTTCATTCCTCAAATGTGAAAGCTGTGGGAATCTTAACAGTGCTGAATTCTTAGAATTGCAGACTGTTAGATTCCCACTGAATTCTAGAATGCCAGTGTCTTGGAGGTGAGGAGGCCCAAGGGATCCCTGTTTCTTGGAGGGATTCTGCCATCTGAGTAGGGGGACAGGGTTGAGGGGCAGTTTGGGGGTGGCACTTGTGTATCTCTAACAGTCTGAACATCTTCGTGGTGGTTATTTAATTCACCAGGGCCTGGGGTTGGGATGGAAAGAACTTTAGAAACTCAGGAGAATGTTGGGTCTAAAGTCACACAGCAAGGCAGGGCAGAGCGAGGCCCAGACACCAGGAGGTGGCTTTTCCTCCCATCCCTGCCCCAGCAGACTCAGCCCCACCCGTCTCCCAGCTCGCCCAGCCAGTTCTCTGCCTCTCTGGGGAAGGCCTGGGCTGCCGCTCTTTGTCACCTTTCTTCTCTGTCTGCTCTTGGCAGGGAACCCATGGGGGTGGGGGTTCTCTCCTTTCCCTCCTTGGCTCTTTGCTGTGATTTTTCCATGGAAACTGGTTCTGGGAGGGGAGGCGATGAGGACATTTGGAATTCTGAGTGGTACCAAATATCTATAATTAAATGTCTTTTCACCCAGCAGGAGGAGGGTGGGATGGGGGAGGACAGGCAGAGGGCTGTCCCTTCCCCTCTGTTTATCCCCTGCCCCCCACTCCTTCCTGAGGACCCTGGGTTATTGGAGGGAGTGCAGCCCAGGAATGTGTCCCTCTCCAGAGGTGACAAGTTGGGGGATGGACCAGAGCTGAGTCTGACATTTTCCAGCCCCATATTTCCAGGACCAGCTGGGATTGGGAGGCTGTGATCTGCTGCTAATCTGGTCCCCAGCCCTAGTCCCAGTGTAGGGCCTTGCCCCTCCTCCTTCTTTCCCTCCCGTCGTCTGTGATCTCAGGCTACACATGCACCCCACAATGGGGTGGAGGCACCCCCAGGCAGCCTGGTGAGCAGAGACACTCAGAGTGTTCAGAATCTAGAAGCAGACTGAAGGACAGGATGTTGAAGGGCTGGGCTGGAGGCTGGAAGGGGAGGCTTCCTGAAGGAGGCTGTGCCTGGAGCCTGGCCTTGAAAACTGCAGGAGTTTGAATCACCAGAGAAGAGAGGGAGGGCTTTCAGGAGGAGGGTACCTTTGAGCAGAGGCAAGGAGGCGAGCAAGATGGGACAGGTCATGTTCCACAGGAGCTTGTTTCGCAGACTTGCTGACTCTTGGTAGCGGAGTGCGTTCATCCATTTAACAAATACTGAGCCCCTAGACACCGCAGGCACTTTTCTAGGCCCTGAGGGTACAGCAGCAAACAAAATAAAGGCCTGGCCTCATGGAGCTTCCAGACTAGTGAGATCTGTCTATGAGTAGTTACATTATGTGTCAGGGAAAGGTGGGAGCTGAGGAGCAAAAGAAAGCAGGATAAGGGAGTAGAAAATTACAGGGAGGGGTTACTATTTAGATCAGGAGGTCTGGGAAGGCCTGTCTGAGAAGTGGCATTTGAGCAGAGGCCTGGAGGAAGTGGAGGAGCAAGCCAGGTGCCTGTCTGGGGGGAAGAGCATTTTGGGCAGAGAGGAGCAGCCAGTACAAAGGTCCTGAGGTAGAAGTGTATTTGAGAGACTATCAGGAGGACTGTGAATGGAGCAAAGAAGGAGAGGTGGTCAGAGAGGTGAGGGAGGGTGGAAGTAGGTCAGGGTCGAGGCAGATCTCACAGGCCAATAGGAGGACCTCACATTAACTTGAAGTGATGTGGGTAGGGATTGCTGGAAGATTCTGAGCAGAGCAGTGACGCGATCTTACTTAGGCTTCCACAGGTCTGGTCTGGCTGCTCCGTCAGGGTAGATTTCTGGAGCCCATGGTG